AACAGACAGGGAGGTCGCGTCGGAGAAGCACACTGTGGCCGTCAGGCGGGAAGCAATAGCGGCAGACGTTGTTGAATTAAAAGGCTGTAGTATTCTCTTGCAGCATAGTGTGTTGCTGCCTTTCTCCCAGACGTACTATTGCTTCCCGCCTGACGGCCACAGTGTGCTTCTCCGACGCGACCTCCCTGTCTGTTTGTATGTGGCAGTCCATGCCCGATAAGATCAACTTCGGTCTGAATCTGAAACAGTTGCTTCCTTCTCATTATACCTCCGTACCTCTGATCAATTAATTGCGAAGATATATACATATACACGATATATATATATTTTTTCTATTTTCTTCCTCTGAAGAAGCCCCGTTTGGGCGAAACATGTTGGGATATACAGGAGCATTCATACAATTTTGGAAAAAAGCAACTACACATTTAAGAACTGTACGGTACTGTCACCAGATGGTGAATGCACCCGCATATGGTTTTTATTTACTATTAACCTTTTTTTTTCTCTTTATGTTAAAATAATGTTTAAAATGGTATTCCAAATAAATGTTTTTCTAAGATTTTACCTTTGAGGTCTGGAATTGTTTCTTAAAAGCCCCCTTTTTCTCCTTCCCCTTGGGTATTTACACACCCCACTGTGGAAACATCTTTTTTCTTCTATACCAGAACCCGGGGTGTGAAACTTCCAGCACCTCTATACTCCATTTGCAAACATGTCTACTAATGTTATCTCTTTACAAATTAATTGAAGCCAAATGAGGCAAGTGTCTGAGCTGGCAGCTTTATGATGCAAAATTTTCATAGGGTGGTGTTTATACCTAGGACTTCCATTTTGAGGAGGGATTGCCTTATAATTAAAAAAACATAGAAAATATAGATATTTAAAAAATACAACACAAAAAGGGCAGCTTTGCCTGTGTTAGGAACATGTGGTAAACCAAAGCCAATTTGTGTGAGGGTGGCCAGCCTAAGACCTATGGTTTTCCCCCTGCAACTATGCCTCCAGTGGGATAAGTCAGACACCAGATTTAACAGATGTAATAGCAGCTATGGCAAACGTGGGGGACATAGGAGGGGTTGCAGAAGTGCGGTAACATGTCACACACAAAGGGCATCTTTGACTGCTTTAGCAGCAAGTGTGAAACCAAGGCCACCTTGTGGGAGGGCAGCCATGCTTTTCCTATTTGGTGTGCCGCCTTCACCAATGAATCCAGCCTTCATCAGGAGATGGGGCGTCTGTGAAATATTTTGGCCTTTTGTCTCTGACATAAAACGCTGTAATTGTTATTTGAGGTCTTTTCTACAACCTGCCTCGTCTCTTCTTCTTACAGTTCTGCCCATTCAAGCTGTTTACATTCTGTATGTTCCAGCCATCTTGCTATATGTCTGACCATTGTCGCTGAAATATGGCTCTGTAATTTTAATTTCTTAACAACTCTTTATTTCTGGAATGTGGGGTTGTGATTTTGAAGTGTTTTGTGCACTCTGTATTGACATTTTGTTTTGTCACTGTTTGGCAATTGTTACAAATTTAAAGTGGACCTTTACCCCTTTCACTAAAAATCACATATGAAATCATCTTACATTCATTAGTTAAACAAACATATTTTCATTTTACTTACAACTTCTTTTTTTCACTTCCTGGTCCTCTTGGGCATTAGTGATGTAATCTCTGCCCATGCGTTGCATCCTGGGAAGGTCACAGTGTATTGCTTGGAAATCTCATCTGTAATCTCACAAGATCTCAGGGAAAGGCATTTTCCTCCCCTGAGATAATATGCATAGTCACATGTCTAGTCACGTGTGCCAGAATTCCAAGAAGTAAAGGGAGATGGATTCATCTGCCCTTAGTAAAAATGGCCACTGTGAGAAGAATGGGGAAGAAAAGAAAAACAAGGTATCCAAAAAGTCAAACATTATCTAGAAGTATGTATTTGTAGATTGTCATTAATATACATTTCTAAAGGCGTCTTTATTGTTATTTTGAAGATATGGGTAAAGTTTCTCTTCAGGTGATTTAACTTTATTTTATCTTGAAGTGTAAACCATCCAATTGCTGTTAGATCTGTACTATCTACTACTCCAAATACTCAATTATGACTTTTAGATAAAAATCATGTGTCACAGCAAAAACTACCTAAAAAGACTTGTTTTCCAGTTAATATTAATTAGATAGGGGTGTCACTGCTTTATGTAAGCCAAAGAATAATGTAAAATGTAAAAAATGTATTACACATACAAATTCTGTAATACCAGGATACAGTGTCACTGATGCTGTCCCCAAGAGTCGTAATATTAAGTTAAAGTAGGCTAAAGCCATCTCTGTAGCAGGTAATTTGAATTGGTGTTTTTCCCATGTCGACCTCCAAGTCGCATAAAATAGGGTTCATCTACCCACTGAATGGCATTTTTTAAAAGAAAAATGCATTGGTAAATGTCCTCCATAAAAATAATTGATTTTCAAGATTCACCTACCATTGACTTCAATGGGGTTCACATTAAAGTTTGCAACTGACAAACTTTTTAGCACCTTTGCTTTACACACCCATGAATCAAACCTAAGCAAGTTCGTCCATCAATAGTACTAGCGTACTGTCATGACGTTAGCCAATTTCTATCAAACACATACCTGAAATCTACATTTTGATTTTTTTGTGAATAATTGGGGATAATGGGGTGGAAATGTGTTCAGGGATGAGGGGACATGTGGTTTTGAAGTGTTTTGATATTTTATTAATCTATTAAGATAATGCAGTGTGGTACTGTGAAAAAAGCCCCTAAACTTGTAAACTATACTATTAAAGGAGAATTATGAGGCAAGTGATTTTCACTCGCCTCATAATCTGAGCTGACCTATGACAATTAAACTGTCACAGGTCGGCTCAGTAGATTGGGAAGTGAGCAAACACATACCGCTCACTTCTCAATCTATCCGTGCAGAGAGCCGTGACTATCACTCATGGCTCCCTGCACGGATTCCCCTCCCTCTCCTGTCCGATCCTCCAGCGCTGACTGGTGGAACAGACGGGGAGGGGCGGGTACAGCTGGCTCTGCCTCTGGATAGGCAGAGCCAGCTGTCACTCACACAGCTGGGTGGATCCAGACAAGAATTGTCGGGATCCGTTCCGGCTGCGGCGTCTCAGTATACCGCGAGCTGTAGCTCGCAGTATACTGAGCTTTGGGTGACGGGAGGACTCTAGTTTGTGTCCTCCCGTTACCCTTAGCAGAACTATGGGGAAAAGCCCCAACCCCATAGTTCTCCTTTAAAGTACATATATTCAAAATGTAAAAAAGTATGCATTTTCCATGTGTAATTTTGTAGTGTTGTAATGAAAAAAACAAAAAATGCCACAAATTACGTTTTTTTTTTTTTGCAGCAATATATTTAATGTAGGTACCATACAATAGTAGTAATTCATGTAACTACAGAAAACATAGCTTAGCATAAAATAATGCACCCCAAGTTTAAACTGCAAATTCTCATTGCATTCCAGAGACCTAAATCCTGCATACAAATATGTTATACTTCTCAATGTCAGGTGCTGCTGGTCTGCAGAACAGAAATCTCAGACTAATACAAATCAGTCATGTGTGAGGCGACATCACAGTCTTGTAGGGCAGACTGACGCTGCAGAAATCTCTTTTACCTACTACAGAAAAAAAACAAGTATAACTAGTATAAGCCAATCTACAGTATGTTTAATGCAGTGGTTTTCAGACTTTTTGTGCTATGCCCTCTTTGGAAGCAGTTGAACTTTTGTTCCCCTCACCCCACTCCACCCACACACATTTTTGGATCAGTCATATCAATATGACAAACATTAGAAATAAAGTGAGACAAATTTTGTTTTATTAAAATGAAACTATCACTCTTTGTGATACCATCTAGTACCGCTCCTCACACCTGTGACAGCTTCTAATACCCATCTGGTACACCTACTAAGCCCTGTGACATCATCTGCTACCCCTCCTAACCCCTGAAACAGCTTCTGATACCCCTTTTCACCCCTGTGACTCCATCCAATACCCCTCCTGAACCCTGTACATTACCAATGTCCCTGAATGGTAAAAATAAGACTAGTTGCAAAAGTTTATCAAAAAGTAAAGAGATCAAAACCTGGGATTTTTTCTCAGAAAAGGTGGCAACATTGCCTGACAAACGATATCACAAAATACAATTTGGTCACTCTTTTGTCTGCCGATTCACTCACACTGCATTCTGAGATATCTGGGTGGGCATGCCAGAGCTTGAGCCTATGTCTGGGGCTGAATATTTTTTGTGCCCAGATTTATTTGTTTCTTAGGCACATAGAAGAAGCTTTGTTTGGAATAAGAGGTATGCAGATTGTGGTGTCTGCTCTTATGTGCTTATAGCCACGCATGTTTTTGTGAATTAAGCTAAGAATAATCTGCAGTTTTGGTATCTATCACAGAAGCCCCCCTACACTTTGCAGACACATGCCTAGACTACTAGTAGCTATAGAGATGGGGGTTTTCAGCACTGCTCTGTGCATTGACCCTGCAGATACAAATCCATCATGGGTAATGCAGCTGGACTAGAGTAACCCCCATAATCATTTTTAGCATTTTACTGGTTTCAGTTTCTGTTGAAGAACTGACAAACTGACAGCTTGCAGAGTGGCAATGCTAGCCCTCCATCCATTTAGTAATGGCCAAAACCTGGTTTGAAAATACGATTTTGTTGTGGAGAGATGGGGCATGTTGTTGGCTAAAGTTTTTTTATTCACAGGGCCTCCTGCATACAGAAATTTAGGCCTGTGTTACCCTAATGGTGCTGGCAATAGGAGAAATTTCCAATACGAAGCCTTGGGATTCACAGGCAATAAATACATTTTACAACATAACTAAGCATCCGAAATAAAACTATAACTCTAAAGTGATAGCTACAGATCAGATTTAAATATTTCATTGTAATAGTAATCCAAGCGCTGACAGACTTGGCAAAACTTTTCTTAGTCTGATTTGTTTATTATTATATTTTAAGTAAGTTAGTTCATAGTTTGGCATCTTCTTTTTTCACTGTATCAGATCTTGAAATCTGTTAGTAGCTTTGTTTGTTTTATAGTCCACAAGGTCAAGTTCCTACATCCTTTTGATGGTGTAGAATTATAGAATGGGTTGAAATACTTCTGTCTTGTATCAATAGGTATTTCAGAAGATATTTTATTGCCTTAATTTGAAGGTTAGTCAGTCTTCTGTTTCTCTCCTGCTTCAATGGCTAGGAAAATAAATAATCAGAGGTAATTAGGTAAAAGATAACAATATTTAATTTACATAAACATAAACAGGAATGCCAAGGTGAGAAAGTGGAAACTCTCTTGGAGGGACAAGAAGAAAGGTCTACCTTGCAGCTAACTGAAAGAGCCCTTGAGATATACATGGGGTACTTGAGCTGGCTGAGTGGTGTACTGTACAAAATGTAACACACAATGATGCTTGCTAATTCCAAATCTCCCAGCATAAAATGAATGTGATGATGCAGAAGGCTCAGTTATAGATTGATTAAAAATATACAAGAATGCACGCAATGGTCAATATGCACAGTAAGACAGTTGTATGATATATCTCCAGCTGGAATGTCTGTGCCCACTCAGACTAACTGTAAGATACATTTAAATACTTTAAGTCTGGTTTGTCTGACCTTCTACTTGTCTGTCTGGCAGTGTCAACATATCTTAAAAAAGGAAAATACTTGACAACTGTAATTTCTGGTAAAATCATTTAGGTATTTCTTCTGGGAATGGAAACATTCTTGAGACAGGTTTTTCAAGAAAGGCAAAATACCCTGGGTCTCTAAACTGAATTGAGTGCTTGCGACTAATGACAACAATGCATAGCTTAGTGTCTCACTTGGTTATACCTTAATCTATTTTGAATGCACTGCTTGGAGTCAGCAAAGGTCTGTGTGAATGTGTCAAACACTGGAAACTAGGAAGCAGAAGTACACCAAAAAGTGGTACTACTTAAAGAGGATTCCTTTAATGTTTTGCTGAAATTGATGCTGTAATCACTTTAAAAAGACGTTAAATGCCATTTTATGAGAAAATTAGTTTAACCATAACAGCAACTAGGTAAAGGGGAACCCAATTTTTTGCAAGCTCTTTGCATACTCAAACGGGTCACATGTGAACCAATATTATTATTATTATTATTATACAGGATTTTTATAGCAGCAACAGTTTGCGCAGCACTTTACAATGTAAGGAAGACATTACAATACAATTCAAGACAAGATGGTAAGGAGGGCCCTGCCTGTGAGAGCTTACAATATTCTAGTGTTATAAAGCCATGATTGCTGTATTATGTAGCAACATGAATCCAGTCAGTAACAGATTTGGTGAAACCATGATACATTATTCTAATTAGTACATTTCTGCATGCCAAAGAGGCAGATTCTGCTACAAATTACAACATTCAGAAACTGTTTGCCCAAAAGTCTTAAAAGTTTATATTTAAAGCAGAGATGTTTAAAGGAGATGTTCTGTAGTCTTAACTGTTACAGCATGACAATGCTGCTCTTCAATAGATAAAGCACATTATCTAAGAACTTTCAGTTTGCTCAATTTTACATTGAGCAATGTGGTCCTTTTTCTGTGCTGCACTATCCAGAGGAATATCAAGAAAAATGTGCTGAGCAAACAGCAAGGTTTAGGTAACCACAGTGCTCACCATCAAATATCACATCAAGGCCAGTAAGTAGGTCTGAGCTCAGAGAGCTACACTTTAAGAACATAAAAGGTGAGTGGATTTTTGGATGTGACAATTTTTATGTAGAGCCAGAGCCGAGGCCATCAAGGCAGGAACCTAGGGCCTGGCAGGTGACCAGGGGTCCAATTACAACCTTTATATTCCATATTACCATAAACCAGATGGATAGAGCAGTTGGTCAAAGCTGTGCACCTGCCTGTTACATTACAAAGGGGGGATGAGCTTTCAGTGTCTTATGGAAGGGTCCATGCCAGTATAGACAATACAAATGGATCGGCTTCTCTGCATTTATTGTACGGCTTATAAATAAATGCCAACTAAAGTGATGGATGGGGGTGGGGTGGGACGGAGGAGGGGAGGCAAGGCTGCTACCATGACTAGGGCCACAATATGCCTTAATCTGTCTCTTAGTAGACTATGACTAGACAAATGCTGACAAAGGTATTCCCCTATTACTTACATTTCTCCAAGTCCCAAATATAGCTGTTTAACTTTTCTCCAAGAATATAATACATGTTAATGATAACAGTGACTATAAAGAAGAAGAATATTTTGGCTACAGAAGTGATGTGTTCCAGAAGCGGGTACACCCATATGCCTGTCACATGATGAACCCAGCACACCCTGAAAAAAAGCAGATATGAAACAAAGAGTTATTTGTTGAAGATCCAGAATATCTGTAATACACAAAAATGTTGGTGATCTTTTTGTGGAGTTAAATGCGTTGCAAGAGACTTTTAAAACCAACAAACGTGGGGAATCTGGAGAATGTTAATGTGTTAAGCCATTACTTTGAAAGAATCGTAAGAACACATCAAGCACACTTTGCACTAGTTATGCCAGAGAAGGAATACGTATCTAATGTAGTTGAAGGCAGATGTGACACATGCATATGCCAGCTGATCCAAACAGATCCTATACTATAATAATAAAACATAAAGGGCATGCCATGACTCCATATTCTATATAGTAACTGATTCAATAGACATTCATATAGAAACAAAATTAGTTGTATAAACACTATTCTTACTTTATTAATTTGTACATATAACCAATTTGCATGTGAAATGTATTTTTTACTGGTAGGGTTGCTTTAACTGTCATCATCTGCAGATCAAAGGACACCCCCATGATCTGTAAATCAATGGAACCGTGTAAACAGGGCCGTCTTTAATATTGATTAGACCCCGGGCAAACATTTTCTTGGGCCCCCCACCACGCCCCCCCCCTGCAATATTGCGCGCTATATGCTGACAGAGCAGAGCCACGCTGCAGCTGGGAAGGATCCAAAAAATATTGTCCAGATCCACCCCACCGCCTGATTGACAGCTGACTCTACCTCTCCAGAGGTTGTGTCCGCCCCCTCTCCCATCCATCCTTCCAGTCAGCGTTGGAGGATCAGAGAGGGGAGGGGGCTATTCCTGCGAGGAGCCGTGACTGACAGCCACCGCTCTCTGCAGAGAGAGTGAGTGCAGGAACTGAGTGATCAGCGGTATGTGATCACTCAGTTCTCGATCAAGAGAGCCAACCTGCGGCAGCTTCAGTAACTGGGGGGAAGAGCGCATTTCACTCTCCCCATAATTCTACTTTCATGGTAAATGTGGATCATTCGCCACCTACCACTTCCACTGCATAGAATAGCAACAATAATAATAATGACACCTGAGCATGTCCCCTGATGTCATCATTATTATGTCCCCCCCCCGTGTCATTATTATTATTATTATTATGTCCCCCTGGTGTCATTATCATTATTATTATTATGTCCCTTGGTGTCATTATCCCCGGACATAACAATAATGACACCAGGGGATGGACATAACAATAATGACACCAGGGGATGGACGGGGAGGGGGCGGGTACAGCTGGCTCTGCCTCTAGATAGCTGTCACTCACGCAGCTGGGCGGATCTCGACGTCGATGTCGGTATCCGCTCCTGTTGCGGCGTCTCAGTATACCGCGAGCTGTAGCTCGTGGTATACTGAGCTTAGGGTAACGGGAGGACGCTAGTTTGTGTCCTCCCGTTATCCTAAGGAGGAAAAACACTGACCCCATAGTTCTCCTTTAATACTGCTACAGATCAGTGGTATCACTAACCCTGGAATTATTGTTAGCTGCATTTAAAACCATATTGAGAAATAGAATCAGCAATGAAGCATGTAATCACAGATTGCAGATAGGCAACCTCAATTCTGGCAATACATTAGCTTTCAACCACATGACTACTCCTCTAGTTAAAGCCATTTCCTGGTTTTAAGTGACTAGATTATGAAAACTGGCATGGAAAATGGCTTTCAACTGGCACTGTGCTAGTTTCAAATGATTTCAACTGCAATTTTGATTTTCATTGCTTGAAACTGGGAAACGATGAATCCGTTGGTAACAGATTACTGTTGACAAAAATGGATGGAAAGCTCAAAAATTGCCAATAAAAAAGGCCAAGTGTTTGGCCAACATGTGGTATCTATTACTATAAAAGCTATGCGCCCAGAGTTCAGCTTGAAGCATTTAAATATACTTTAGCGGTGGCTGGTAAATAATTCAGCCTGTTGGCTAAAATATCAGTTTTAAAATTAACATTTACCATTTTAAGGATTTTTTTATCTTCAGTAAGCTAAGCCATAATCACATAATTCTTGTAATGATGTATAACATTGGTATGTAATCTATATTGGAAAAGCAAGAGCAAACAATCATTAAACTGAGATTGTGAAAGTAGACACAACCATACTATTTAAGATTTTTCAGATTTCAGCCAATCTGGAATCCAGAAACTAGCTTGTGATTTCAGATGGTTTTGTCCGAAATATTAAATAATACAGTTTGAAAGCAAGCAAGAGAATGAAGAACAATGCTGGCAGCTACTAAGCGTATTCAAAGTTTTATTTATCTTACTGCCACCTCATTAATACATATTACTCACTACATTTAATGATCTCAGTATCTAAATCAAGACTAAAAGGGAGAAGCAGGAGGTTACATGAGGTTTGAGGAAAGAGTTGGCGGTATCTCTGCTTGGAGTCTCTATTACATTTTTTGGTCTGACAGGATTCTGTTACCATGGAGCCTATAAAAGCTTTCAGCAACATAAACAGCCAAAACAAATGTTAATACATCACATTATGTACATTGTGTAACGCTGTCCATGCCACTAATTTACATAGTACTGTGCATGTGAAATGCACATATTTTATTTTTCTGTACTCCAACATTAACACCAAAAAAAACACTCCTCCTATTCTATATGTAGTATAAAGAGTGCAGGTTCCTGTTTTTTTACCTGGAAGATTCACCAGGAATGGGTTAGGATGCAAATGTCATGTTGCACATAAAAACATAGGGATCTATTCACAAAGCTGCCGAAGGATCCAGCAGTAGCTTCGGCTGATCGTTAGCTAGCTTCGGTTACGGGAGGCCTTCGGTTCAGTAGAACTGAAGGTCTGCTATATGGGCTATTCACTATAGCCTATAATGCTCCCGAAGTTGGCCGAGTGGCTCAGCCAAGCCGAAGGCATTTGCTTCTGCTCAAATGAGCCGAGGTGAAATCCTAAGCGGGCCGAAAGCCTGCTACTGACAGCTGGGCGGAGCCAGACGTCATCTCACGGCTGGCTCCGGCCACTCGCAGGGACAGATCAGCGTCCCCTGGTTACCAGGTAACCAGGGGACGCTGATCTGTCATTACGATGACAGCTCAGCAGAGCCGGCTTTGATATCAGCGCCGTCTCCGCCAAGCACTCCTTGTAATGACAGCTGGTCCCAGCCAATAGAAAACTGTTGGGCTGAGCTAGCTATCACTGCTAGCTCTGCTTAATCGTTTTCTTTTTTTTAAAACTTTTTTAAACTGTTTTTCTTTTCTGCTCGGTACCACAGAGGTACAGAGCAGAATAGCCGAGCCGCTCGGACCCCTTCTGCACTTCGGGTCGGCCGACCCGAACCTACCCGAAGCAAGCCGATGAACAGGCTGATTTCAGCCAATGTACGGCTGAAAACAGCTTTACAAGCCTGAAGTTAATAGCCGAACAGCGTTCGGCTCACTTCACTTCGAGTCGGTTATTCACTCGGCTGCCTACGGGAGCTTTGTGAATAACCCCTTTAGTTTTGTTTTTTTTGCAAAACCTTATTTCAGGGAGGTTCCCGTATCATTTCAGGGAGGTGCCCTTTCTGTTTTTTTGTTTTTTCTTACAGCGGCCTTCGTCAGAATATAAAAGAAATAATAATGATAATATATATATATATATAAGATGTTCAAGTATCTGTCAGTGTAAAGGTCACATTTTATTAGACAGCCCAAGACCTTTTTAAAAAAAAGCTGAGGAGTAAAGTCCCTGATACACAGTTGACTAGTTGCTATGGGCAGCGAGTGAAATAAATGTTCTCTATAACTAGACAACCAGGGCATATAATTGATTCTATATTATCCACAAAGGGTTAACAGCACTCTCTCAATCCTGCAGCAGTGCCTGTACCTGTTCTCAATAGTAGTCTATGCCCGCCCTCTCTGTGCAGAAAGTAGCTTCTTCCTTCTGAGAGCCAAGCCTTGTTCTGAGGCTACTCTAGAGATCACATGACCTTCCTCCAGGAGGCAAGCCTCACTCTGAAACTTTACCCACTGATAACTTACCGGAAAGGTTTACTCAGAGTAAACCTTTCAGTGAGAAAATGCCTCTCTCGCTGATGTCAGGGAGCTGCTATCTAATAGCGTGAGACTCCCTGAACATCAGGGAGACTTGAGATCCCTGCTGTAATGAGCCCGTGCCTCCTCCAGAGACATCCCTCACTTTGCAGCATCCACACACTTAGCTCTGACTCGTGTCCATACTATCCACACTCTCTATTTACAGACACCTTACCTCTGTACACACTCTGCTCTAGTTCTCACAGTCTCTCACCTCTTTTCACCCTGCTGTCTTCCTGTTTGCTCTCCAGTGGCGGAAAAGGGGACACTTCTCTCCAGTAGTGGAGTTTCCAAGGGGCACGTGTGCAAGACCAATTTTTGGTTGCCCTTTTGTACTACTAGCCAAGTGAAAATACTTTTTTTTACTATGTATTGATTTATAGATAGATGGAGGAAGACATGTCCAAATGTATGTGAAATGTCTGCCAAGGACATTTGATAACAATTCACACCATACATGGTGCATGGATTAAAGATATAGAACAGGCTGATTTTACAAACTTTCACACCTCCCGTCATGTTCTTGGATATTCATTACATGGCGATTGTATTAAAGCGTATCTAAACCTAAAACCAAAAATGTATCATATGGTAGCTTACCAGTCCTTACATGTGGTGGCCACATTAATTTTCTTTTTTGCGTTTTGTTTTCTTTGTTTTCTTTATTTTCACCTGGTGATTCGGCCAGTAAGGGCTTGTTCACACCAAATGCAGACCAGATCTGCATGAATTTCAGCCAATGAGTGGTTTGCCACTTTTGCTGGACAACTTGATCTGCTAAAGAAAGTTGAAAAATAACCAACTAGCTGGCTGGATCACCAGGTGAAAAACAAGGGGAAAAAAACACAATGCAGCCACCCGAATAAAAATGTCAGTATATAAATGTTTTGCTTTTAGATACACTTTAAAGTGACTGAGTTACCAGTGTGTCTATAAATGTTGGGGTGTG